ATTTAGCCAATCAAATTTGTCCTTCTGGTAGAAAATTTAACGTTGATTGGCTAAATTCAATATGTAACACAAACCCCGCACTCAATTTCAGACACTGGTCGTGTAGATTTTCAAATTCTCCAAAAATGGAAATGCAACACCCCAAAATAAATCGTGTATTTGAAGCCAAGACCTTCCTCTACAAAATCATGATTTCATCTCATTGACATTAATATGTCATGTTGTTGTGGAGAATTTGAGCTTCAAAGTTGTACAAGTTTACTGAATTTACTATGTTTAGCCCTAAAATGACGTGTTGCACACAAAAAAGTTAGTATAAAAAATAGACAAATTGAAAACAAAATAAAAATTTGAAAAATTTTCCCTTATCTTGAAGATCTTTTGTCACATGGATTTTCCAGATGCAACGGGAAGAGAATTATCTTTATTATTAAAAAAATACAAAGTTCATTTGTTTTAAATATAATAAATAGACTATTGCATTAATCAAAGAAATGTGCAATTTGCAAAATATTCTAATGAATGTTTATCAATTATTTAATAGTTTGTGTAGGAGTAATCGAAGTAAGCTTTAAGGACAAGCAAGATCTATGAACAAAATATACTAACAAACATTTTATTAATCATTCAATAGTTTATATAAATTTCTCTTTTATTTTAACTGATATTTAATAACATCACTATAATCACTATTGTTGTTGTTTATTGTTCTAATCATCATTTACATATGTATATATAGGAATAAAATGTAAAAGAAAAATTTAATATATTTATTTAGCACTTGACAATTTTCAAAAATCTTGTGGCTGTAAAATTTTTATTGCATTTTTGATTGGAAATTTTTTCTCAAAATTGGCAATGTGGCACAGAAAGTTGTGGGACTAAGTGACTTGTACTATATACAGTCAGCGCTCGATATAGTGAAGTTTTGGCTAGTACAAATTTGGAAACCATCTTCTGAAAAATTGAATTTGATTGGATATTAACGCAGATAGTTTCCAAATTTGCACTAGCCAAAACTTCACTATATCGAGCGCCGACTTATAATTCATTGACAACATCACGTGAATTACATATCCTTACTTTTATAGCATGGTGGAACAGGAGAGAACGTACTGGGAACACAAAATTAACAGGAGGGAATACAAAATTTTAACCCATGCAATTTGTTGATTGACCAATTAAAATCGCGAATTTGATAA